CCCCCCCCCCCCCCCCCCAATACCGTGTTTTGTCCCTCGTCCCTCTGTATTCCGCACCGCTCTTGCAGGGTGGAGGCAGAAAACCGAAGTTGCGAGCTTCAGGGTTCTAGGGCTTTTAGTCCTCTGGGGTTCTGGGACGATGTGCGAATTACCTTTCGGATAGCTTGAGCGTTCCAGTTCCAGGTATGGGGCTGTGGGCGGTTGGTTTCAGGGTGCAGGGCTTCAGGAGTTGACGATGTAGCGAGGTTTAGGGCCCCCTAAACCCTAAACCGTAAAGTTTAGGGTTTAGAGTTTTCAAGATTCACTCTGGTGCTGGACTGGACTGCTGGACATCCGGATTTAGGGTTTAGGCGTCTTGATTGGTTCAAGGGCGGGCCCTGCAGGGTAACGAAGACCCAAAACCAATCAATCTAAAGCCCCTAAGCCCTAGAATCAGACAGCGAAAGCCGCCATCAGGTGAGAGGCACCATCAGAAAGGGCTACCAGGCAAAGGTGGCGACAAAAAGCTGTTCTCGGAAGGTCGTGTTGCTGGTAATAGGACGATTGATAGCAGATTCCGACCGACATTGGACCGTCCGAATAATTTTCAGAGGCTTTGCCCTCCTATTCTCTGTGCCTTGTGGCCAGCGCCTGCACTCAGAGCTCTAGCGACGCGTCTCAAGAATCGGAGGTTTCGAACACTAAACCCTAAACCCTAGACCCTAATCCCTGAACCCTAAACCCTAACCAGAGTGCAGACGGCTTGGAGTGGGGAGCAAGCACCTTCAAAGTTTTACTCCCAGACGGGGTAAAAGGTGAAGCACTGCTGCTGGCAATGCAGAAGGCTGCAGAGGTTGCGACTTTAGATTTGGAGCTAAACAACCCCTAAACCCTAATCTCTAACCCTAAACCCTAAAACCCTAAACCCCAAACCCCTAAACCCTAAACCCTAAACCAGACTCTATTGGGGGTTTAGTTTAAGGTTTCGGGATCAGGCCTGATCCCCTTTACCGCGACATGGCCGCTAGCCTAACTTTCTTGAAGGCTCGCATCCTTGGTGTAATATAGAAGCTTAGATAATTACTGTACCAATATTACTGCTAGGGTTCCTTATGATATTAATACTATCAAGGGGCCCCAAACCCTATTATATTTTAAGTATTAAGGCCCCTATATTACGCCCGCCCCTCCGCAGAGGCAGGTGTTTGATGAATTGGCCCGGTAGAAGGATTGACCTTCAAGCCCCGGTCGCGGTTTATAGGGTTTAGGGCTTTGGGTTTTAGGGTTTAGAGTTTTAGGGCTTAGGGGTTTAGGGTTTAGGGTTTTAGGGTTTAAGGGTTTAGGAAGCCTCACACCAACAAGATCACAACTGAATCCCAAGACACTTTAGAATGATAACGCTCCCGAAACAAAGCACAACGGTAAAGTATCCAGGCCCCTGTTGTCCTGCTAGAGCCAACGGTCCCTTTAAAACGGGGACCTGGTGGGCTTCAATCTTAGAATATAGCGTGACGTACTGTAGGGGCTTAAATAATTACTAATGCTATTTTGGGGGGTTCCTTGCTATAGTCATGGTATAATGGGCCCCAAACCCTAATCTGATAATTAAGGCCCTGCAATCACCCCCAAGCCTCGAACCTTTCGGCTTTCTAAACTTACTACGCTTACCATGGCCTACCATTGCAGCAGCGGAGTCCCGTTTCAATTGGACTATATGGCAGTTTTCATAGCTTTGACTACACAAGCTCGCGCGTATGAGAAGAGGCGAACTCAGACGGGGCCGGGGCCGATCAGTGTTACTTTCTCGGTCTTTGGGGAACTGAACTCTGGGTTCTAGAATTTGGGCGTCAAGTCTTACGTGAAAGTTAGCTCACTGTGATTCAAGCTTGCTGTTAGATACACTCTAGTCGCTGCTTCAAAGGCGCAGTAAGCGCATCATCGTGTTCGAAGCCAAATTCAAGCGGAACTCGTCAGCCGATCATGGTAATGACCGTGTCAGTCGACAACGTCATGGTCCGGTCATGATCACCACCGTTGCCTCACCATCGCCATCAACAACATCTTCTTCTTCCTCATCATCATCGCCACCGTCACCATCATTATCGTCATGGTCATCGTCATCCTCAGCATCAGCAGCACAAGAAGCACCCGCAACCACTGCCGCCATCACAAGCCACCGCCAATGCGGCCGCCAACGCAAACCCAAGCCCCCTCGCAGGCTTCTCGTCCGACAAGCCTACTACTAGCCACTCACATGCTCCGCTAAAGAGCAGGATCGACACTTACTAGATCTTACTACCATCCTGGACCTAACTTAACTAAACATGAGAACCTACCCGTTATGAGGTACTCAAGTTGCTAAGAAATGCCACATTTTGTCGGCCCCAGGGCAGATACCCCAAACCTCCCTTTTTTGCTCAACGACCCAAAGCCCTAAACTCTTAAGTCTACCGAAACCCTAAACCCCGAGCCCGAAGCCCTAAACCCTAAACCCTGAACCCCTAAACCCAAATCCTTAAACCCTAAACCCTAAACCTTAAACCCTAAACCCCTAAACCCCTAAACCCTAAACCGAGCCCGAAGCCCTAAACCCGAAACCCGTCGCGTCTCTCTTTTCCTTTTGCTCGAAGACCTGACTTCCCCAAAGACTCCTCGCCGCCCCGGCGCCGGCCCCAGGGGATCTTGGTCCGGGGATTTAGGGTGTAGGGTTCTGGATATGGGAGTTTCCGAAAACAACGGGTACCTTGTTTCGGCTTCTTTGAATAAGGATCCTACTATTTAGGGTACTATATTGGGGTCCCCTATTTTCGGAAACACCCATATTTCGGTTCAGTGTGTAGAACTCAGTGGGGTTTAGGGCAATTTAGGGCATACGGTTGATGATACATGTCCTGCACTACCCCATAATACGGAACATACCATCATTCCCATAGTTCAGGGTCCTTAAGGTCATGCAAGATTTATATCATCAACAGTAGTGTGTAGAGCTTTGAGGTTTAGTGGTGGTTAGGACTCCAGGTCTATAGCTCAGGGCTGCCGATTTAGGGTTTAGGGGTTTAGGGGTTCGGGGTTTAGGGTTTAGTGGTTTAGGGTTTAGGGTTTAGGGCTTAGGGTTTAGGGTTTAGGGCTTTGGGGTTTAGGGCCTTTACAGTTTTAGTTCAAAAGGAGTCCATCAGAAGGGCTTTAGGAGTGTGGGT